GTCATCCTGATGTCTCTCTCTCCCTGTCCCTTCCTCTCCCTGAAATCAATAAAAACTAAAAAAGATAAAAATAATAAAATCAATAAAAACTTTATTTTTTTATTTTTACTCTTTATTTTTTTAATCTTTTTGTTTAAAAAAAACTTTTTTTAAAAGGTTACCGTGAACAACTCCAGTTCTTCCTCTAATGAACTACCTCCCACCTCTGTGTTCCCTTTCAAAGCCAAACTACACAAAAAACGTTATTTATAAGCACTTTCCCATTCCCACACCCGCGAGCAGTCGTGAACGACTTCGATGTGGCTTCTCTCCTGACCCGTCCGCCCCACTGCTTGCTCTAAGGACAGACACCTCAGCGGACAGGTGGATAACTGGAGTTTCTCAGCCCTCACCTTGACTTCTTTCCCAGTCTTTAACGTGCTTGACCACTCTTCACTTTCTGAAATGCCTTCTCCCCTTGATCTTTATGCCGTTGCGGCCCAGGGTGGTCAGCGGACCAGCAGCGTCAGCATCAGCACACTTGGAAGCTGGTTAGAAATGCATACTCTCAAATGGGCCCTTAACAGTTCCCCTTCCCCTTACTCTTTGCCCTGAACATAATGCTTCAGATATATCCACGTGTGAGGGGTCTCAAATACATCTTTCTGTTTTAGCCTTTGCACATGCTGTTCCCTCTCGTTAAAATGCCATTCCCCGCACCCCACGTCTTGCCAACCTGCTTAATGCCTTCTATCTTTAAAAGACTAAATTGTGTGCCTCTTTGAAGACTTCTGTAATCCCTTTCCTCAGACCAAAGAACTTATTCCCTAAACTGTTATTTTTAAGCAAAAAAGTAATACGCTTGTTATGTTATTAAGCGCTTGATTACATGAAGCACCTTACTTGTGTTCTCTCTTGTAATCCTCGCAATAGCCCTGTGGAGCACTAAGGAAGTCCACCAGATTCTCCAAATCTCAGCCAGGACTTCCTAGCCCAGGCTGATTGCAGAGTCCATGTCCCTAACCTGTGCCTGTAATTATATGGCCTATAATAAAATTTAACACTTTTAGGTGCAGTTCTGCAACTTTTGACAAATGTATACGTGTGTGTAACTACCACTGAAATCAAGGTACGGAATAGTCCCCATCACCCACCAAGTTCCCCCCAGTGAGCCTTTGTAGGTAGCCCTAAACCTCCCCCAGCTCCCAGCCCCTGAAACCATCGTCTTATTCTCTGTCTTTATAGTTTTGCCTCATGTTATATAAATAAATAGAGCATATAGCCTTTTGAGACTGGCTTCTCTCACTTAGCTGATGCGTTTGAGAGTCGGCCCTGGGTACGTTGCAGGGAATGAAACCTGCAACCCCTGGTGCACAGGATGACGCTCCATCCAACCGAGCCTCCCGGGCCAGGGCATTTCCTTCTTTCTATGGCTGAGTAGTATTACATTGAATATATGCACCAAGTTAGTATTTCAATGGATATATCCATTCCCCAGTTGCCGGACATTTGGTTTCTTTGGGGAGATTATGAATAAAACTGCTATAAATATTCACATGCAGGTATTTGTGGGAACATAGGCTTTTCTTTCACTTGGGCCAATACCTAGGAACGGGATTGCTGGTTATGTGGTGTTTGCTTAACTTTATCCGACACTGCCAGATTGTTTTCCAGAGTACCTTAGCCACGTTTTTAGCCCTAAACTATATGCTTCAGAGGGCGGGAAGTGAATCCAAGGGACGGTGATGATGATGATGGTGAGAGCTAACAACATCCCACGCTTTTAACCATACACGTGCTGCATCATTTGACTGTTTCCTCGGCAGCTGGCGTTGTCCTGGCACACAGTAAACAGTCAATAAATACCTGCAGAATTAAATAAATTTTGGTTATACTCCTCAGGAAGGGTGTTTTCCTCTTCTAATTTATTTACTGTTTTGTTAGAGTGGTTTTAATTTTTTTATTTTTTAATATATATTGATTTCAGAGAGAAGAAGGGAGAGAAACATCAATGATGAGAGTCATTGATCAGCTGCCTCCTGCACGCCCGCAACTGGGGATCAAGGCCGCATCCTGGGCATGTGCCCTGACCGGAAATCGAACCCCGATCTCCTGGATCCCAGGTCGATGCTCCATCGCTGAGCCACGCCCGGCCAGGCTAAAGAGTGGTTTTTAAAGTTACAACAGCAGACTGATGCCTAACCCACTCAGAGATAACAAAGGTTTGGCTTTTTGTTGTATCAGTGACAGAAACCGAGGAGTTGAGACCAACAGATCATTAGGGGGAGAGGGGAGTAAGGAGTTTAGCACCAAACAAATTAAATTTGTACCAAACACAGGTTGATCAACTGTGACAGACTGTTTTCCTGAAGTTGGCAACAGCAATATCTCCCATGCCTCCTACGCCTCTAAAACCGTGCACTTACCCTTCCTGGAAGTAGAGTACAATTCCCCTCCGCTGGGGCCCTTGTAACCAATAGACTGTGCTGGAGGTGAAACAGCATGACTTCCAAGGATAGATCATAAAGGTGGTACAGCCTCCAGCTTGGTGGGGAGGTCGGAGGGTGACCCGACCTAGAGAATTGCCTGAGAATTATCCTGGTCTTGGGCTTGTGCAGAAACAGAAATGACCCTCGCTGGGGAGCTAAGGGTGTTTTCTTAGGACTGAAGTCCTTACCAGTTCCCCCGAATACCCTGGAATTATACACGGGAAGGAGGGGTCATTGGCCCTCTTCAGAGTTTCAAGGGTCGAGGAAACAAGAAATTAAGCTACAGGTTTCACCTGCGGCTGAAAGGCCTCCGTGATGGGAAGAGCAGCTGACAGACAAGCTCGGTGCTCAGAAGCCCAGGCGTGAAAACCAGCCCTCTAGTTACCACTTCTAACGCGACTTCAAGGACTTGGTGACCGGCAGGAGCCTGGGCTGTACGTGGCCCCTACAGAGAACACTCTCCTCTCACCCCCAATTCAAAGAAGACCAGAAACACAATGATGTGATGGCAAAGTCTATTTGCACAATTTATTTTAAAAGAAACAGCTGTAAGGTAGAAACGCAGATGTTTTCTTTATTATAAAGACAGTTACAAAAGAGAATAAATATGACGTTAGGAATTATTTTTAAAAAATACAACAAACCCCTGGCATTTGTGAGCAATCCCAAGAACTCGCAACGTATAAAAATTTGCGCTGGAGGTAAGAACAGCTTCGCCACCTTGGAGCAGATGTTGGAGACTTTCGACACGATGAGGGTGGACGTGACCTTTGGGATTTTAAAAGGCTCTAGGTTTGTCCCTTGGGACTGTCAGGGGTCTACTGTAATGTAATTTGCATAGAGTCAGAGTTAACAGAAATTCTACTCATTAATAGCACTTCTAATTATTCTTTTGTTATTACAATTAAGTAGCACAGTATCTAAGAGGAGGAAAAGGGGCGGAAATGGGGAGACATGAATGAAGGGGGGTGCTAGGAGACCAGAGAAGGGGCGGGAAGGAACAGAAGGTATCTTTTTGCTATTCTGTGCGGTCTGGACAGCACCCCGCGCCCCCGCTGGAGGGGGAGCGGGCAGGGGTCCGGCCTGGTCTGCCTGCAACCTCACCACCACCGAAGGACCGGCGGAGATGCAAAGGCAACTGGCAGGCTCAGGCTAAGAATGAGAACTGGGTAGCTGATGGGAAACAAAGAGGAGAGGGGTGCAGAGAATTCCCCAAGAAAATGGGCAACGTTGACCTCACAGACCCCCAGGACTGGCTCCTCTGAGGACCCCCAAAGAAAGAAGCATCTGTACAATTAATTTCCACTCTTTGATGTGGAAGGGTAAAGGGACAAAGAAAAGTGACCGGCGGCCAAAGAGAGGCGTGTCCAGGCTGAGAAGGACCGAGGAAGGTGGGTGGGAGGCAGGGGGGACAGCTGGGCCCCTCACGGGGTGCGCCCCCCGCTGCCCTGAGGCTAAGGCGCCTGCTGGTCTAGGTGTGGAGGCTGGTTGGGGGGGGATCGGTTGGGGCGGG